GTGGATCCCTCGGCATCGATCTCGCTAGCTCGTTGCAATGCACATGCGCGCCGACGAAACACCATTGCCGTTAGTGTGTGAGCATCCTCAATCGCCGTGAACACTCTGGGAGCGTCGGCAGGGACATAGCGCAACGCAACAGAGCGAAGAGGAGAATGCCGAGAAGGCGGATATGGGACTTGAGGAGAGGAGGGAGGACGACGCGGGCGAGGATGATGATGACATGGTGAATATGGACAGGATAATGTGGTGGAGGGGAGGTTAGGATGATAATGCTGATGATAATGATGCTGCTGCTGCTGATGAGGATCTGGATGATGATGATGATGCTGCTGATGATAATGGTACGAAACATCGTGACGACGATGATGATGTTGATGATGCTGATGCTGATGATGAGTCCGATGACGATAACAATGATGATGATGAGGATGATGATGCTGATGCTGATAATGGTGATGAGGATGAGGATGATGACGATTCTGCTGATGATGATGACGATTATGATGATGCTGTTGATGATGATGCGGCGGAAGACAAGCATGTGAATAATGACGCGGCAGAGGAACACCTCTGCTTCGCTGGACCTAGCTGGATCTAACTCCTAGCTTATTCAGGGCAGACAATGTACTTGGCAAGAACATTGCAGCGATAAGCACTACCGCTGTAATAAACAACTTAGCGATCATGCGTATACTCTCTGATTGCTGGTGTTACGGCGCCGCAGACAGACTTTGCTACGCAAATGGTCAAACGGCCGAACAGAACAAACAACTGCCGCTGCGATGTCGTTGTATACCCCAAGCCTCATACCAAATCAATGCAACATTCGATGCGCATTTGGCTAACAACTGCAAGGTGCCCCACACTGTGCTCTCCCGCGCAAGATATGTCTGGTGTGCGAGAGGCTGTCCACGATCACTCCCGACTGCAGTGCACGCCTAGACGCAAGGCAATTCGGACATCTACAGACGCATCGTATGGGTTGCTCCTGTGCAGGAGCTGCGAGTTGTCAAAGATCAAGACGTCACCCCGCTCCCAGGCATGATCGTACACCTCGCCGGCGGCAATTGCCTCCTCGGCCAGCATCTCCCAGGCGCTGTCCTGGACCTCTTCCGCCTCCTCCTCCAGCCCCTCGAGGATGCCGCGCCCTCGCCCCGGACCGACCTGAAGGCACGGCACGCCCGTGAAGGCGTGCTGGCCCACGAGGGGGCGCAAGGACCGCGGGCTCGCGCTCCTGACGGCGCCGTAGGGGTCCAAGTGCCACATCCGCCCGGAGGACCACCAAGAACGGCGCGAGCTGTCCAGGCCCTCATACGCAGCCTGCATGTCGGCAAAGGACGGCCGGGTGTTGCCAGGGAGCGTCCCTGGCCCAAGGTGCCCCCAATACCCCCCACGGCCTCGGGGGCACCCCTCGCGAGGCCCGGAGGGCCCCCCCTCGTCCTCCTCCTCCTCGTCCTCCTCCTCCTCCTCCCCGAAACGGCGCGCAGAGCTGGGGGCTCTTGGGGCCGAGGGCTCCTTTGGCGACCCCGGGGACGTCGCGTGGCCCGGAAAGGCCGTCCGCACCGCGTGTATCATGACCACGTAGGGCGCGCCTCCTCTGCGGCCGGCGCCCGCGGGCTGCTGGTCGACGTGCCAGCTGTGCGTGCCGCGGCGCCGCTCGGGCGGGAAGGCGGGGGCGGAGGGCGCGGGGCCGAGGGGGTTTCCCAGCACCTGGACGCCGGGGCTGAAGAGCTCGGGGGGCAGGGCGGGGCTGACGCCGCGGTGGACCTCGAGCACGTCCTGGCCGAACGTGGCCCTGCCGAAGGCCTCCAGCGCCGCGGCGCTGACGACCTGGCCCAGTCTCAGCACGAGCACGCCGCGCTGCCAGAGCTCCTGCCGCAGCGCCCTGCGTGCCTGTTCGGGCGCCTGAAAAGGGCAGGGGAAACATGGGTACAGCGCAGTTCTTGATACATATGTTTTTTCTTAACATGTACGATGTTTAATACATGAATGATTTATTGATACATTAGTGCATGAAGCCATTACTGTTTTTGATGCAACAATGAATTATCTTTAGTACAGGATTCGCACGCGGAGCATGTATAAAAAGTGGCGCTTCACAATGCCCAACAACAAATGTTGTCCGAAAGCGGCGGCGGCCGCTGCTGGGCAGGCGGCCTTCTGTCTCAAATGGGCAACGTGCGCGGCGGCGCGGACAGCGAGTCCTGCTCGAAATGGATGGAAGCTGCTGTGGGGCATCGTGCCCATACTCTCCGTGCCCATTTCGTTCGTGCCGAGCCTGTGCGGGCGCCTCTGGACACATGAGCGCGATCGTTAGGTCGGGCATGTCCTCCCACAGGCGGATGTTGGAGGAGAAATGGAAAAGAGTGAAACAAACACCCGAACAGTCAAAGATAGTAGACACATCGTTCCCCGACCATTTATCATTATTATTCTGTTATTGTTGATCTTATTATCATTCCAATTCTTCTTCTTCTTCTTCTTCTTCTTCTTATTTTTGAATATTCCTCCTGTAGAAAGACATGCCCGACTTAACGCGATCGATTCCCGGCTGCCGTCCACCCCGCGGTACATCTCAGAAGCGGACCGGGAGAGGCGACCCGCCTGGCGGGGCCGCCCCGCGTGCTGGTGAAGGCACCGTGCCGTCACCCTTCGCACGCCGCTCGCCATGACTCCACCGCTGCCCACTCTGACCAGCAATTACCCATCGGTCGGAAGAAGTAGGTAGAAACATGAAAGAGGACGGCGTTGAACATAGGTTTGGATTTCCGTCTGTCCCCTAAACTGGCAATCGCTCGGACGTCCATTCACTGTTTTTTTTTGGGGGGGGGGGGGGGTCGTGCATGTTTTTTTCGCAGGGTGATCCAGGATGCTGCTTAACACTCCCCGCCGAGAAAAAATGCACGCGTCCGAGCGATACCAAGTAAAGAGAACGGACAAGGTGAAGTCACTCGACCTTGGAAGTAGGAAGGCGCCTAAAGTAGATCGGAGCCTGGGGATCCCAAAACACCTCCCTCGCCTTCGCTCTGACGTCCATTCCCTGTTTTTTTTTTGTTTCGTGCGTGTTTTTTTCGCCAAATGATCAAGGATGCTCCTCGATTGTCCTCGCGGACGGAAAAAAACAAACGTCCGAGCGATGCCAAGCTCCTGTCAACGAGAGATGGGTACTCCACCGCTGCCCACTCTGACCAACAATGACCTGCATCAACCAAACGGCCTGGGCCCAAACGGCTACACTTGGCGGCGCGCACAAGGGGGTAGGGGGAGAGGGGAAGGCTTCTTAGAAGGAGGCTGCTTCTTAGACGGCGCCGGCCTTACATCTACAAAGAAGGCCCGCGCCTTCTAAGAAGCAGGGGTGCTTCTAAGAAGCCCTCCCCCCTCCCCCTAGCCCCTTTTGCGCGCGGCCGATAGACACGGTGACTAGGTCCCAGACTACACCCGTGACAATGACCGGCGCTCCCTCTTCGTCGAACTACGAGCCAAAGAGGGCAATGTCAACATGTTGCAGCGAGAGTCCAAAGCGAGATAGTGGAACGGGGCATTGGAACCCAAGCATCAGCGGTTTCAAATTCTCCGCTCATCATCGCCCTTCGCAACTCCATTGGCACCATTCAGCTTCCATTGCTGGGATCACACATTTGCGCAAAGCATGCAGCCATGCGACGCCAATTGTCAGAACCACTGCAAGCAAAAAGCGACTGGCACTCTCACATTTTGTTAGACTCTCCGGCAATCTCCTCTCGTCAGTCGCCGGACTGCCGGATGCTGCTGTGGGTGGCGAGAAAATCCGTGCTGTCCTCAGTGAGGAAGAAAAACGGACGGAAGCGTATAAACACTCCCACCTTGGGGTTTCGTGAGGAGCATCTGGTCCGCAGAACTGGCAATTCCACGCCGCCTACTACGTATCGGCTGAGCTGCCGGCCAGGACCTCAGAAGAGCTTCCCCCCAGTCCGAGGCGACCTGCCTCCCGATCTTGCTCCTGACCCTGCACCTGGCACGAGGGAAACTTTTGCAGGGCCCCGGCGGAAACAGATCCTGCACACCCTATGAGACCTCCGCCGGGGCCAGCTTCTCATCCCGAGCCATCCTCTAACAACCCCCAGGGGGCCCGGGATGGGCCCGGAAGCCTGGAGGCAGGGAGAAGCCAGCCTCCCAGGGCTCCTCCTCTCCCCCAGGACTCCCTCTCGTCTTCACGGCCATGATCCGGGCCCAACCTCACGATCCCGACCCAGCACGCCCTGCCTGTCCCCCCATGCGCGGGTCACCGCGCCAACCGAGTGCCCCATGGACCGCCTTTGCCGGCTACACGCGAGAGTGACCCTAAGCAAGAGTGACGACCTTGGGTGCGTGGCTGCAGGGGGAAGCGGGGGGTCCAAAACCGAGCGCGCAAGCCACTGCCATCGCATCGCTTCCAGCGATCGAGGGGCCCCCCCGTTGGGCCCGCACCAAAGGTCACTGCGGCGAAGGGTCACTCTTGAAGTGTAGTCGACCTCTGCGCGCAGCAACCGGCCCCGCCCAGAAAGGGCTGGGCCGGACCTGGATCGACGAGCCCGGGGCTCCAGGCCATGATTGACCAAAAAAGGACCCCTAACCCTTTGGGGGGGGACCTAGGTTAGGAGGGCCAGGCACATCAGGGACAGGGGGCCTGTCCTGCAGGTGCCTCGAACCACACCGCCCAGACTTCTTACCCCCGATGCGAAGACGGCGACCTCAGTGAGGCTGCGCCTTCATCGTGCTATGAGGGCCAGGGGTACCTTGATCCTAACTGGCCATCGCTCGGACGTCCATTTCCTGTTTTTTTTTCGGCTTCGTGCGTGGTTGTTTCGCCAAATGGTCGAGGATGCTCCTCGAAGGTCCTCGCCGAGAAAAAAATGCACACGTCCGAGCGATGCCGAGCTAAAGGAGGCCAAGGCCCGCAGAGGGCCGCCCCCCTCCCCGGCACCGCTCCGCGGCCCCCGAGCGGGGGCGGGCGTGCCGCACACGTCGCGGAGGGGGCCTCAGGACTCGGGCAGGGTCGCCGTCTCGTCGTACCGCTCCAGGGCCCTCATGACGAAGCGGTCGCCGCACAGCGAGGGGCCTCTTCTGCGCACGGGGCATCTGTGCGTCACCGCCGCGCCAGGCCAGGGCCGTCCTGGCCCTGGCTTGGTGCATGCGCCCTCCTGGCCGAGTTCATGAGGGCCGATGAGTGCACCGCCGCAGGGCCCAGGATGGCCCTGGCCTGGCGCGGTGGTGGCGTATGGATGCCTTCGTCGGATCTTCGGCCACGCGCAAGAGTGACCCTGGGCAAGAGTGACCTTCAGTGTGCGGACGAAGCAGGCGCAAGGTGGCCTGATCCAAGCGCGCCAGCAACCGCTGTCTAGAGGCCTCCTAGATGGGGTCCGAGTAGATGGGGTCGGAGGATCGCGCCGCATCGCCAGGGCATCGGCGATGCATCGGCGATGCATCGGTGACGCCGGCGACGCATCGGCGACATCGGCGTGGAGAACATCGGGCTCCGCATCGAGCCGCATCGTCGATGCATCGGCGACGCGGCGCGATCCTCCGACTAGACTATCGCATCGCGCTCAGCGATCGGGGAACCCTTAGTTCGGGCATGTCCTCCTAAAGGCGGATTTTGGACGACAAATACAAAATAGTTAAAACATACTCCTCAAAATGGTTCAAAATAGTGGGAACATCGTCCCCAGACTATTTTTGGATATCCCCCCTGTAGAGGGACATGCCCGACTTAAGGGGACCCTGGTGAGCCCGCAGCCAGAGGTCACTCCGGCGAAGGGTCACTCTCACGCGTGTTCGACCTCTGCCGCCCAGCTCGACCGGCACCTCCGCCGGGTCGCAGGCGTCCGGGGCCAGGAAGTGCTTGTGCTCCTCGCCCTCGCTGACCAAGACGAACTTTGCGCGGGTCGCCTCGGGCACCCAGAGCGAGAAGATGTTGAAGATGGCGCGGAACACAAACCCCGGGCGGTAGAAGTAGACCTTCTTGAGGAGCTCCGGATAGTGCGTCGTCACGAGCCGCAACGACTCCCTCAGCACCGGCAGGCCCTCCGGCATCGTCTCGTGATCGGGCAGGTGCGGGCCCACGCTGGGGTCTGGCCGCCGCCTCTCCTGGATACACCGGGAATCGTCCGGCGCTCCGTCGGCATCCCAGTACCGGGTGAACGCGAAATCTGCCATCTCGCTGTCTGGGAACGCCCCGACGTCACAGATGTAGGAGCCCTTGCTCTTTATCTCGGCGGCGGCCCGCTCCACGACGAAGCAGGCGGCGCGCAGGTGCGTGCATGGGATCATGGTGTCGGACGGCTTCCGCCCTGGGGCATCGCTGGAGGTCATCAGCGAGGTCCGGCCTACCAGAACGGGCTCCCCATCGCGGTCCCGCAGGCCGTAGTCCCCGAAATATGCACTGGCGCCCGCGTTGCTCCCGTGCATGAGGAGCTTACGGGCCATCCCCCTCCGGTGGAAGTCCACACACCGGTACTCCCTGCGGAACTCCGCCGTCTTCCTCAGCCTCTCTGCGGCGCTCCGCACGGGGTCCTTGGCCCGCTGGTTGCGCTCGGCCTGCAAGAAACGCGCGAGGAGCCTGTCCGGCCCCTCTGGCGGCGACAAGTACGGGTCCTCCTCCGCCTCTGGGGAATGCAAACATGAAGGGGCTCTGGGACACACAGATAAATAGACACAAATCCCAGGATTTCCCATATTTTTTATACTTTCTGAATTTTCGTCTTCCCCTGCACTTCCCATATTTTCCAGGGGACCGACGATTCATTGTCTGTGTTTTTTCCCTTCCTGAAGAAATGCCAATATCGCTGCTCTCCGCACCTCTCCTGGGGTGCGTTCTGACCAGGACTTCGAGGCGAACCCAGCGGTGGCGACGAGGGCCCCCCAGGAGGCCCAGGAGGGAGCAAACGAGGCAAAGGCAGCGGTCTCGGTCATCTCACTGCACCGACCTTGCAGGTGTGCTGCAGCGGTTTGTTGCGTCGATTTCTGCCAATGCAGAACGCCGAAACGGCGAGCGAACAACTACATTATTTTCACGATTTTTGTTTTTTGTTCTTTTTGTAATCTTCATTCCTGGCCCAAAGACATCCGCACGAAATCCACTTCGAAATCCGGAACGACATTCTCCAGGACAATCCGGGCCCATCGCATTGCTTCCCGAGTGAAATCCGCTCTACGATGCTGGCGCCATGAGGGCAAACGATCGAGGGCGGCCAAGAGGGGAGCGTCTAAGAGGGGGGGTGCAAATCATGGCTGGCGGCATGTGCGCGGCTCAAGGGGGGGCCAGGGACGTCATGAAATTCGCCGGCCCAACGGGCCAGAGGCGTGCTAAGATCCCCGGTAATTGTTTAACACTATTCTACTTCGCGCGCGCGTGGCGGCCCCTGGGGGTCCCAGGACGAAAAATACGCCGGCCGATCCCCGGCGGATCCCTGGGCGATCTCCAGCCAGGTCCCCCAGAAAGCTCCAGGGGAGGGCAATTTCTCGACACCTCTCACGAGGATCGTGACTTCCGAGGGGGGAGCCGCAATCGATCACCCCTCCTCTCGCCCCTGCGAGCTTGTAACCCCAAGTGGCCATGTAAAGGTTAAATGTCTTGAGGCTTGGCGGGGGGCCTGCCGAAGTAGGTGGCGGAACGGATGGCGAGGAAGCCGATCAGTTTAGACAAGGGGGGGAGAAATGCGCAGGACCCACCCTTGCAGCGAAAACGCTTGAACCAAAATGGCAAGAAAGGGCTTGAACCAAAATTGCAACATAAATTGGATGAGGCGGGGCAGGCTGGTAACGGGAGGAAGAGGAATGGGGAGGGTGAGGAGGGGGGGGAATCCACCAGTCCTTTGAACGCGAAGGTGGTTGCAGAGATGTTTGTTCCAACCTCCTTGTTTCCCCTCGGGGAAATCTTAACCGCCCCCAGCCCCTGCCCCTGCCTCTGGGTGCGACGGGGTGGCCGGCGCGAGGCCGTTGAGCAACCATGGTGGTCCAAGATGGTTCCACGAGGGCCTCCGTAAGATGAAGATTTCCGCAACGGTGGCGCGACTGAGTCAAGGATGGCTCCAGATGGCTCCAAATGGCGCGACGCGAAGGATGCGGACCATTCTGAAGGCGGGCCCAGACGGACACGGAACCCCCCAGGAAGCCCCGAGCGGCCAATGTCTCAAACACGTGGAGACCTCCAACTGCTCTCACCAATCCGTGCCTTCGCAGCTGCGGTTCTCTGGCGCGTCCCGACGCCCCAAAGATTGCCCAACAGGGCGCCAACATTTGGCTCGGAACAGCAGTGGCCTCCCCCGAAAGCGCGAGAACCCCACAGGCGCCCCCAAGAGGGCTCGCAACGGTGTTTTTTCGGGCGCTGGCGGGAGCCGAGGCGAAATAATGACCTCCTCATCTTTGATTGCAGCCCTCGAAGAACCCCCTCCCGAAAAATCCATGTCCCGAGCTGGGCCCGAAGAAGGTCCCAAAGGAGTCCCGAACGCTTCGGCCTGGCGCACGGTCGGCCGCAGAAGGCGCAAACAGGCCCCCGAGGAGTTTTCGGAGCAAAGCGCCGAAGACGACCGAGACGACGAGGGGGGCGAAGACCAGGACGCCAGCGAGGGCGACGACAACGACGGCCACCACCACCACTGCAAAGCCGGGGGGGGACGCCCGGCTCGACCATTGAGGGGCCAAATTATTGGGACAACTGGCGGCCCCGTTCGACTTCGGGCGACCCTGGGGGGCAGGTCCGCCCGAGATTGCTTTGGACGCATGGGGGCGCGAATCTCAACCACGGAGGGCCCCATGGTCGAACCCAGGCGTCTCGGGGGACGTGGCACCGACGGCGGCGGCGAAGGCGGCGGCGGCGGCGGCGAGGACGACGAGCGCGGCGACGACGGACGGCGACGGCGAAGACGACCGAGATGACGACAAGGGCACCGACCACGACGCCGGCGAGGGCGACGATTTCGACCACGACGGCGACGATGTGAAGTGGCCCCAGGCTCGCGGACGGAGGGGCTTACCATTTTTCCCAAGTCGCCGTGCGCCTGCGGCCCCACAGCGAGAACTTCCCCGATTGGCGCGACCTGGGGGCCCCGGGGCAAGATTTGAACCCTGGATTTGTTTCAGTGTTATGAACATGGCCGCACCTCGCTGGGAACGGACCTGCCTGCCCTTGCGCCGGGGCCCCGCTGGAAAGAAAAAAGCCAAGATAAAGCCGCCAGCAGCGATCGCCCGGAAGGGCAGCCAGTCAGCACGCACCTCCCCTGGTGCACACCCTGCCGACTATGCGCCCTCGATCGCCCGAGGCGGCGCCCTCGCCTGCGAAACGCCCCCGGGCTCCTCACGCGCCCTTCTTCCTCTTCTTCAGCGCGGGCATCCCGCCAGGGGCGGCGCCCTTCCCAAGCCCCGCCGCGGCCGCGGCGGCAGGGGCGACTGCGCCCGCCCCTGAGGCGGCTGGTGCCTCGGCTGGTTTCTGTTCCCCTGCCCGGAGTTTGTTGCGGATGTTTTGGTGCAAATCGCTCTCCTGCACTTTCAGGTGCTGGGTCACCCGCTTGAGCGTCCCCCCCACCGCTTTCTCGTAGGTCGGGTTCCCCTCCTTGCCCACGATCTGGACCGCCAGGGCGACGTTCGACAGGTCCTGGGCCAGCTGCTTCACGGCCTCCTCGGCCTTCGGCAGCTTCTCCAGCAGGTCCGCGAAGTTCTTCCTGTGGTCCACGTTGTCGTTCCAGCTGTTGTGCTCTGCCGCCCGCTGCAGGTTCTGCTTGGTGGTGGGGAAGCTCACGATGCCCGCCTCGGCCGTTTTCGCTACCCTCTGCGCGTCGTCGGGGGCTGGGTCGGCGAACGCCCAGGGGCAATGAGAGAAGTCCCACTTGGCGACCCCGGCCAGCACGCTGCCGAACAGCTTGTTGTAGTTCGCGATGGCCTCCTCGAGGATCCGCACCTTGCTGATGCCCACCTGGAACGCCTGGTACCACTCCATCTTCATGCGGTCTGTCTTATCGCCGAAGCCGCTGCGCAGCGAAACCGTCTTGGGCGCCTGCGCGTTCGCCTGGTGCGCCCCGTCCAGGACCTGAGCAATCTCGAGGATGCCGCCAAGCAGCTTGCCGTCCAGCACCCGGCCGTGCGCTTCCTCGAGGCGCGCCATTGCGCGCCCCGCGGCCATGATGGGAGCGAGGGCGGGGGGCATGAAATCCACCTGGTCCTCGTGCTCGCGCAGGATGGTCGCCACGAACTTGCCCTTCCCGACGGCGGTCTCCAGGAGGCCGACCAAATTGTGCGCCACCCGCTGGCTCGCGCGCACCTTGGTTACGAACGTGACCAACTCAGAGCCGGGGTGCTCGGACGGGAACGTCTCTTTGGAGATCTCGATCTTCTTCTCGTCGTGGTAAAGCTGTCCCCGAGCCCGCACCGCGGCCACGATGCTCTCCTCGCTGTGCGTGGGGTCGCCCTGCGCGCACCTCAAGTTAACGTGGCAGTGGAGATCGGTGAGGGCTTTGGCCTCGGCAATGCACTTGTCAGCGGGGGTCTTGAAATTCACCAGGAGGCCCAGGGCCTCCGACTGCCAAGCCACTGTGTTCATGCCAGGGATTCCGTGCTCCTCGTCATTGCCGCCGTCGCCACCAGATCCATCCGCCTCGGCCTCGGCCTGGAGGAGGGCCCCGTTGGCCACGCTCGTCATGAAGGTTGCGTGGCCGTCTGAGGAAGAGAGCACGTGGTCGATCACCTGGAGCGTGGCCTTGGCGAGCGACGCGCACTGCTCAGCTCGCCGCTTGTCCTCCGCGTCGTCCGCGCCCCCGCCGTCGCCGTAGTTCATGCCGAAGGACGCCAGCTTCTGGGACATGTCGGGATCGTTGTTGAAATCGCACAGGTCGTCGAACGCCTCGTCCATGTCGCCGTCGGTCATGGCGTGCTGCACCAGTCGTTCGATGGCGGCGCTGATCTCCGTGTCCGCGGCTGCCGAGACGAGGGCCGCCCGGCTCTGGCCCTCCGAGAACTGCTCCTCCATCCAACACCACGCGTCCTTGCCGTGGTGCGCGTGCGCGCCGTGGCAGACCTTCAGGTAGGAACGATGCCTCGTGCTGAACTTCATCTTGTGCGTCACGTACTGCGCCGCCTTCTTCTTGAAAGACCTGCTCGGCTGCGCCCCAGAGGAAATGGCCTGCAACACGAGGGAGCCGAACACGAACAAGCTGAGGTCTGCCCAGGCCTGGGCCGACCATCCCTGGCCGAATGTGCCCTTGGCACGCACGTCGTGCTCAGCAATCTCGCACGGCAATCCCGCAATGAACCCCTTGATGCGCTGGCCGACCCGGACGATCGTCGCCGCCTCCGTCTGCCGCCACATCTTTTCCACGAGGCTCATGACCAGCGCCTGCTGCGCCTGGGCCACGGCTTCGGGGCATTTCAACAAGCCCAGGGAGAGACCGACCCCCTCGGCCTCGGCGTCGCCGTGGCTGGGGTTCGCGGCGACGCCCAAGCAGAAACCGCGGACGTAGGATTCGTCCTCCAGCGTGATCCGGTCCACGATCTTCTGGAACTCCGCAGTCAAAATGCGGGCAACCGTGGCGTGATCGCCCTGGCGGAACACCACAACCGCCTGCGCCGTGTCGGGCGCAGCTTTCAGGATAAAGGGGACCGGATTTGTTTTCACTCCTTCGAAAACAGCCCGTCGCGTTGTGATGTGGCTGGCGGCCTCGACAAGGTGGTTCGCCAACTTCTGCGCCTCCTCAACCTGAACGAGGCCCCCGAGCTTCCGAGCGACTTTCTCGATCTGTTGCAGCTTGCTGTCGAAGTCCCTCTTCCGGAGCGTGCCGGACCATTGCGAATCAAAGTCAAAATCCCTGTCGATCTGCTTTGCTTTGGTGTGGCCCTCTTCGATGGCAATCTCGGTGGCCCCGCGGCGTCTGCGCCCCTTCGAACCCTTGTCGGCTGTCTCTGGCTCCTCGGCGGGGAGCTTCGCCGACGCCCTGCCCGAACCACGACCAAAGGCGAGGGCCGGCGTGGCGGGCGGCGACGGGCTGCGGGCCGAAAGGCGGGAAGCCGCGTAAGAGGCAGCACGGCCAGCTCGGGAGACAACGTCGGGGACGCGCGGCTCGGCGCCCTGCGGCGCCTGCTTGCCGACCCTGCGCCTGGCGACGAGCTCGGCGAGGGCTGCCGAGCGCGCGCATTCCTCGTCCTGGGTGGGGGGTGGGAGGGCAGTGTGGCGCGCCCCCGACCGACCCGACCGAAAAAACCGGCGTGCCGGCCCATCCGTTATCAGCTCCCGCCCACGGCTCCAGAGGGGCCATATTTTCAAACAATAATTAAAACTACCACCCCAAAAACCCGTATGAAAACCCGGAGGTCCGACAACTCGGGCGCTTCAATGGGGACCTCGCACGCGCGACCGCCGAGGAGGTCGCCGAGCCCGTGCTTGCCCGCGACCTGGTCGAAGTGGTTCTTGGCATCCTCCTTGCTCTGGTGCCCCGTGTCCTTTCGGAGTTCGTCTCGTTCTGTCCGGGCTCGTTTGAAACGATGGGTCCCCGCCGCCTGGTCGATGGCCTCGAATCCCGGGTTGCCCTCCATGTCGGTGCCGAACTTCAAGTGGCCGTACTTGCTTTCCACGAAGGCGATGGCTGCCTCTGCGTTCTCTGGGCACTCCTCGAACGGCAGCCGGTTCTTCCGCACGAAAGCCCAGAGCTCGTGGAACGTGCCCTCGATGAACTCCTCATTTTGCTGGCCCTTCACATTGCTGGTCGTGCGGGTCGTGAGGTCCACCTTCTCGCTCTTCTCATGTTTGCCCAACCCGCGGACCTTGTTTCGCCTGAAGTCCTGCTGTTTCTCCTCAACCTTCGGGCCCTTGGCCATCTCTGCGTTGAGGGCGATCTGGCTGGGGCCCGGGAAATGGCTCCGCCTCGTGTCAAAACACTTGTAGCATTCTCGGCCTGTGGGTTTTTTCCCCGATTTGGCTGTCGGGCAGGGGTGGTGCGCATACCAAATGACGAAGCATTTTTTTCCAGGCTCGCAGTCTCTCTCCAGGTCGTGGGTCGTTTGCAGGCAGGTGTCGCATTTGCAAGGCTCGTGTTCGGCCCAGAAGTTAACTGGCTTCGCGTTCGCGCCCTTGCTCTGCGGCTTCCCCATGCTCGCGCGCGCCCGCGGGGTCGAAGCCGCTGGGCGCCTCGAGGGGGTGGGCGATCCTGGCCGGCTTCCACTCGAGCCGAACGGCAATTGCGTCCCAGGACCGGGGCGCAGGCTCGTGACAGCCTGCGGGCGCAGGCTCGTGACGACAGTTGCCCGCTTGGCTTCGGGCGCAGAGTGGCCACAGTTGCCTGCCCAGAGCCTTCCCAGCACGCGCGGCGCGTCTGCGGGGTCCGCGGGGGAAGAGGGGCGGAAAGAGATAAGGAATATCAGCAATTCTGGAGTGTTCTGCGGAGGCACCCGAGGAGGAGGAGGCATTATTTTTGGCGTGCCGGCCCATCCGCTATCAGAGGCCCCAGGTTCCGAACGAGTTCGCGATGCGGGCCCGTCCGCAAGGCCTCCAAACACCTTTCCTTACATGGCCAACTTTTGGCGTGCCGGCCCATCCGTTATCAGACACCCCGCTTACCTAACGATTCGGGCGCGCAAGCGCTCCCGCCAGGCCATCAGAGGCCCTCGCCGACCCTGGCGCACGGCCATCAGAGGCCCAAGATTTCGCGGTAATTTGGGCGTGCCGGCCCATCCGCTATCAGAGGCCCCCGCTCCCCTTTTGGCACCGGGGGGCCATCTGCAAGACCGCCCAAACAGAAATTTAAGTTGCTAACTTGTGGCGCGCCGGCCCTCCCGCTATCACATCCCCTGCAAACCGAACGACTTGGGCGTGCCAACTTTTGGCGTGCCGGCCCATCCGTTATCAGAGACCCACTTCCCTAACGATTTGGGTACGCAAACGCTCCCGCCAGGCCATCAGAGGCCCTCGCCGACCTACTGGTTTGAACGTGCCTGCCCTGGCGCACGGCCATCAGAAGCCCAATATTGCGCGGCAGTTTGGGCGTGCCGGCCCATCCGCTATCAGAGGTTCCCGCTTCCCTATTGGCGCGCGGGCCCACCCGCCAGAACACCCAAACAAAAGTTCTACTTGCTAACTTGTGGCGTGCGGGCCCATCCGCTATCAGAGCCCCCTGCTGCAAACCGAACGATTTGGGCGTGCGGGCCCATCCGTTATCAGGGCCCCCCGCTGACTTGCTGGCGCGCCGACGCACCCTTGGGGCCAGCACAGGCCCCAACTTAAGTGTGAATTCAAGCGTGTGGACCCCCCCCACTTGCATCGAAAACTACGGGGGCCTACTGATTTGCAAGTGCTGGCCCATGCGCAATGCCATCAGAGGCCCAAGATTGCGCGGCTGTTTGGGCGCGCCGGCCCATTTGCTATCATCGGGCCCCCCCAAGACCTACCGATTTGGACGTGCTGCCCCATCCCCTTGGCATTCAAAGGCCTAAGCCTGCGCGTCATTTTGGGCGTGCCGGCCCATCCTGAATCAGAGGCTCCCGCTGACCGACCAAATTTGGGCGTGCCGGCATCCGTCCTCGCAGGCCCACCTCTGCGTCAATTTAGGCGCGGCGGTCCCTCCGATCTCACGGCCATGGCTCTGCCTCAGGACGGGTGCCTGCAACAGGCACAACAAAACATGCCCTGCGTCCTCCTCCTCCTCCTCCTCCTCCTCCTCCTGCGTCCTCCTGATGCGTCCTCCTCTTCGCTTTCCTCCACCCTCCACCTCCTCCTCCTTCTCCTCCTCCTCCTCCTCGTCGTCCTCCTCCTCCTCCTCCTCCTCCTCCTGCGCCGGAGACAAAGACGTGAAAGGCACAGTGGCTTCGGCACTCCAGTTGCTGGCGCCGCAGGGGAGGGCCATCGCTCTTTTTTGAAATGATGTTGCTCTCTGTTTCCCTCTCCCCCTCTCTCTCTCTCTCTCTCTCGCGCGGCGCCCGAGGATCCGAGATTCGCTGGCATGTCGTCTGCCGCACGAACTTCTGGCAGCAAGTCTGCCTCGTCCTCCTCCTCCTCCTCCTCCTCCTCCTTCTCGTCGTCGTCCTCCTCTTCCTCCCTTTACTGCTCCTACTCCTCCTCCTCCTCTTCCTCCTCCTCCTCCTCCTCCTCCTCGTCCTCATCCTCCCACTCCCCCATCCTCCTACGCATCCTTGCCTCAGTCCCTTCACTCCTGGTCCTCCTCATTTCCGTCCTCCCCCTCGTCCTGGTCGGTTTCCTCCTCCTCCCTCCTCCTCCCCCCTCTTTTTCCTCCTCCTCCTCCTCCTCCTCCTCCTCCTCGTTCTCCTCATCTTCCTCCCCCTCCTCATCCTCCTCTTCTTGCTCGCTTCCGTGGTGCCATCCGTGTCCTCGTGCACCCCGCCATCGCTGCCCTCGGAATCTGAGACACCACCGTACTCCCGCGGCATCTTGCGCGAGACTGGCTCTGGCAGCGCGGCATCGTCGTCCAGGGGGGCCCACTTCCCGAGGCCGAAGGGTAAGTCGACACCAATGGTCTTGCGGGGCCCCGAAGGGGCGTCAGGCACCATCTTCTTCGTCAGGCTGACTTCGGCGTCCATGCGGCTCGCGACCACCTCCACCCCGAAACCACGTGTCAAATCGCTGGGGATGTGCTTGAAACACTTGAAGAGGAGGGTACCCGGGGCAGCCGCTGCGCCTGGCACCTCGGCCATCGCATTCGCCAGGAGGCGGCTGAGTACCATCTGAGAAGTCGCCGCGGAAGGGGCGCCCTCATGGATCGCGATCTGGAAATGGTTTTCAAGGGGCACCTCGGCGGCCCCCCTCGCCACGCAGGCCTTCACGAAGAGGAGCGTGTTCCCCTTGCCGAAAGATCTGGTGAAAAAGTGAAACTCCGCGCTCCTCGGCGCGCCAGGGGCAGCCAGACGCACAAGCAGGGGCCCTGACATCAAGACGCCGTCTGCCCGGAGCTTTGCGTACATGTTGAACGTCCCGACGGTCGCCATCTCTCGATGTTCGTCTTCGGCGCGCAGGCCGAAGAACCGCAAGCAGCGCGGCAAATCGGGTGTCAAGGCCGATGAACTCGATCGTTCCGCCACCTGTCCAAACTGAAAAATGGCGTTGCTGTCGCGCTTCATCTGCGCGTCGGTGCCCGATTTGACCAACGACGGCCGCAGGCCAGTCCCGAAAGCGCAGAGTGCGCTCCCTGCGGCCCAGAGGCCGTGGTCCTGGATGTCCTTCATTGTGTTGAGCGCTGCTGCCCGCCTGGTCGCGCGGCCACTGGTTTGCCGAAACTTGCGGGGCGCCTCCAAATCGGCCAGCGTGGCGAGCGAGGCAGGGCCCGCCTCCCTCATCTGCTCGTTTTCGGCATCCGCTCTGCCCTGGAAAACTGCCTTTTCGGTTTCGGACAAGCTCTTCCACCGCCGTGTCAATCGCCGACGCTTGCCTGCCATCCCAACGTCGTCGGGCTCCTCGCAATACGCCTCGCTGACGAAAATGTCCAAGCCTCGGACAGGTCGTTGCGCGCCATGCCGTCGCCTCCACTCAGGTTTCTTGCCCTTCTGGCGGCCGCGCACTCTTGGCCTGTTCACGGCGAACTGTGCCATCAACTGACCCCAGCTTCGGCGCAGGGAGGCGGTCCCCAGTACTTGATTCAGAACGCATTTGCCCTTGGAAGCTCCAATCCCCTGCCCCGCCTTGACGTAGGTTCGCTTCTGCAAGGTTGAGGCCAGCAGCGTGCGCCCACGTCGTCTTCCGCGCATCTCCTGGCCAAGAAGATGTTTCTTCTCCGCCTTCACGGAGGTCACGCGCAGCGTGGCCACCAAGTCCCGGAGTGACCCGTGCGCATCCTTGCGAACGGAACGTTCGTTGTGGCACAGGCGGGCGAGCCACTTCAAAGTGAAGTGCTTGTCCACGCAATGTGCGCAGCCGTCCCGCAAGGCAGCCAAAGGCTGCGCCACGTGCTCCACGGAAGCGTCGCTGAACGCGGACTGTGCGGCAACTTGCAGGATGCGGAACTTCGGGCAGTCATGCAAGAAGGTGAGTCGGAACCACGTCTCCGCAAGCGCGCACAAGACAGGCCCAGAAAATCTCATCTTCTCGGAGTCGCGCACCCTGGTCTCGGCCCAGAGGGGGCCCTTGAAATCGCGGACCAGCGCAGCGAACCGAGCAATGGCATCCACCCCGCCCCGCCCAGAAAGGACGCGCAGATTTTTTGATATTGCTGCCTGCTTTGCCACCTCAAATTCCCCTGCCTCCTCGCCCGCGCGCGGCGATGGGCGGGCGGCGCAGGTCGCCGCCGCGGTCGTCGCCGCCTCTGCGGCCAAAGCCGCGTTCAAGAAGTCCTGCAGCGGGCGATTGAGGACCGCAGAGACTTCCAGCAGCTTCGCATCAGGATCGCCGCCCAACCAGGCGAGGACCGCCCCGGCGCGAACTGCTTGCTTTAGCGACAGATTGGCTCCCGCCTGCGCCTCGGGGCCGTCGGCCGCCAACCTTGCCAAAGCAGCCTCGGCGTTCTTGATCGCCTTTCGCGGGTGGGCGGCTTTCAAAGCCTTGTCCAAGAGCTTATGGCATCTTCTGGCTCGGAAGGCCTCGGCGCACGTCACTTCAAAACCTTTCCATCTATAAAGCAACGGGGCTGTAAATTTTGCCCCCGCGACAAGGCGGATGGCCTTCCAGACGTTCGCCTTGGCGGCCTTCCCATTCCCACACTTCAATGGACAGCTGCCGCGAACACAAAAGTGAGTCATGTGTTCCTCGTCGCCCCAATCGTCGTTGAGGGCGTCAAGGACGAAGGCCTCGTCCTCGGCGGTCAGATCTCGGGCGGCACGAGAGCGTCGCAGAATCTCCGCGGCCGTCGACCTGGGGCGGAGCAAGGGCAACGCTTCCCGAGAACTGCCCCGCGCGGGAGAGGCGGGCCACGCAAGACGCGCGAGGGTGACTTCCCCGCCCGCGCGGGGCACTTCCCGCGGGCGCCGCGCAAAATTCTGACCGACCCCGCTTCGGACCGCCATGCAGCGGAGTCGCGCGGAAGAGCCGCAACCTCCCGGAATTTAAACATGGTGTCCAATGTGCTCTTCAAGCCATCAAAGTACTTGGACCTCGTCCTCCCGGATTCCAGCGTGTGGCCCAACTTGACCAGGGAGGAATCGGATCCAATCGATTGGATAAGTGGTTTCAGTGGCAAAATGCCGCTGTGGGCCGCACAGGAGACGTCCAACAGGGTGAAACCCGATGAGGCGTCGGCTTCCATTGCGTTGTGCTGAAGCTTGGTCAAACAGTTGTTGAGCGACAGGTTGTCTTTGGTGACTGTCAGGGTGCGCCAGGGGACGGCGAGCAGCGCGTCTTGCACTTGCCTCGACGGGTCAACTTTGTGGCCAGGGCCTTTCGCCCCCAAGAGTGTCCACTGCTCCCATCTGGCATGCGCGGTCGGTGCGTTGGCCACCGCCAACACTTGGCTAGGGGAACAAACAAATTCACCGCACATACAGGCAGCATCTCCGGAAGTTCTGGTGTAGATGTGCTCGTCTATGTTGAGAACCCCTAAATGGATGTTTTTCCCCTTTTGGCTCAACTTGCGATGCAGACGTTGGAACGCCGGGTCGCCATCGGAGTCTTGCTTTTGGATGCCCGCACTCTGCACCCACATGGCCGCGTCGTCATAAACATTGCAGGACCACACATGCTGAACATTAGGTTTGGCGATCATGGCTGCCAGGCCCTCTGCTTGAGCATGGCAATGGGACACGACGCCACGATCCAGTGCGACTTCAAAATCGTGGTCTTGGCCACGCCGTGTGGAATGTGCTGACACGCGGACGCCGTCAACAATGTAATCCATTTTGGCTGGCCCCTTCGGCATCGCAGCGCCGCAGCCGAATACCTCTGTCGCCGCATATTCTGGCCGAGAACGTTCAAGTGCATCGGCCATCAACTGGGACTCGTTGCGGGATTGTTTGAGCTGCCATCTCTGCACCCCCGCTCTGATGTTCCTGCGCTGCTGGTCATTTAAAATGGTTCCAGGTCGTCGGCCCCGTCGACGCGGAACGGCAGCTCCAGGGGGGAGGGCGCGTAAGGGCGCTTCCCCCTCGCCGCCGGGGGCAACGGCGCCTGAAGGCGGTTCACCCTCGTCGCCGCCATTCCCGTCCGCTTCATCAGCGTGCTCGTGAAGAACAAAATCAAACATATCGAGCTTGAGCCAACAAGGCTCGGATGCCCTGACCTCCCATCTTCCCGCCCCCCACGCCCCCTCGACGATGCACCCCTGCGACCCTCGTCGCGACAACGCGCTCGAGGAGTCGCAAACTAAGACGGCCTCGACTGGCAGAAATCGATAAAGACTGCTAGACGTCAGAGAGGACCCCCCCTCTACCCGATCTCTTCCCCCCATGTTTGGAAGGGGATGAGGCCGCAATAGATCAAAGCGTCTCAGACTGCCCAGGACGGCTGCTAACTTGTCACGGAGATTCCAGGAGCACCGCCAATGCCACAAGATGATACAAGATGGCTCTAGACAGCGTCCTGTTTGCTTGCGAGGGACTCCAAGACGGCCCAAGCAAGGCTTCAAATGGCCACGGAGCCACAAAAGGATGCCTCCCGCAAAAAACAATACATTTCAACCACACATGGCGCATCAATCACGTTGACCTTATCGCGTTTTGTTTCCGACGGGCTGCAGAAGCCTCAGAAGGGCGCCAGGACGGCCCAAGAGAACCCCTCGACAGTCCCAGGAAGGCGGTTCCAAGGCGGCCCCGAAAGCGCACGAGGGCACTCCGATATTGTCCGGACAAAACGCCCCGAGGGGCGTCATTTCAGGCGATACTGGCACGACCCTGATTGGGGACCCCTTCTTGATCGGTGTCCTCCAAAATGGCCCCAAGAGAGCCCGTGAGGCCCCCAATTGCGCCCAGAGAGGGGCCCAAAGAGATCCCCTAAATGGACCCACGCCGGCTTTAAGACGGCCCCCACAATGCCCAGGAGCGCTCCCATACTGTAATTTCCCTCTGCTCCCTCTTCGCCTTCGTTCGGCAAGGCCGCGAATACCTACACGGTTCACTCCCGGAACTGCTCGGATTGCTCCAAACATTATGTATGACGGTGTCAACCTTCTTTGTTGCCCAGCAGGCCCAACTCTTCCTGATCAAGGCAACTCGCACGGGCATCGTTTCTGTAGGGGTTGGCGGGAAGTCGCAGAGCCTCGACAATCCACCCCAACGCGTTGGCAACAGGCATCGCCCGATCCGACAGCGACAGGCGCAAGCTCGCCTACTCTCCCTCATATTCCACCTCCCCGTCCTCCTTTTCTCCTCACTCTTCCTTCTCCTCCCACTCTTCCTCCTCCTCCCCCCCCCACCACCCCTTCTCCTCCTTGTCCTCCTCCCCCCTCCCCCTCCGCCGTCTCTCAAAAGCGACGCCCGGGCCTCTCCTGGGACGCGTTCCGACCAGGATCCCAAGGCGAAGCCAGCCACGGGGACACAGGCGCCCCAGGAACTCGAACAGAACTTGGCGCGCTGGCCGAACCGAAGCCCCTGCAGACCCGTCCCCTCCCCAAAGACCCCGCCGCCGACCAGCCAAGGAACGGGCAAGAAACACAGTGAAAGTGCCGGGGTCGGCGAACAGGCGGCGTGGCGCAGCACGCAGAAACGCCACGCGAAATGGCTGCCAGAAAACATGTTTATAAAGCGCGCCATGTTACAACATGCGGGGGAACTTGACCATTGCCAGGACACTTGAATTAGACATTGCCCTCTGTGCCGACTGCGTTTCGCACTGAAAACGTTTATTTTGGGCAAGGGGATCGACAACTGATTTCTTATTGTTTTCTGAATAACGTTGGGCAGGGGAAATAATGAAGCATTTTCCACCAGAAACCATAACTTTGGGCAGGGCGAAGGACAGCGCGTTTACCTGCTCTACGCCCGTAATAACCTGTATATAGCACATTGCGCATACAACTGCGAGCGTCCCAAGAGGCTCCAGGGGCCCCCAATATGCCGCCAGGGAGCTCCAAGAGGCCTCCAAAAAGCTCCCAAGAGGCCCATGAGAGCCCCACAAGAGGCTTCAAAGTCGCTCCCATGTGCTCCCAAGAGGCCCCATCCGCCCCCAAAAGCGCTCCTAAGAGCCTCCACCCGCTCCCAAGAGACTCCCAAGAGGCTCCACGGGCCTTCATGACGCCGCCACGGAGCCCCGAGAAGCCCCAAAGAAGCGATGCTGCAATATGGGCTGGCGGAATGAGCGAAGCGATTGGATAAGAAGAGGCGCCGTGAAATCTGGGGAAATTTCATGGCCCACGCCATGACATCCCCCCTCCCTAGTCAGCACCCCCCCTTTGCCGCCCCCGAAACGGGGCAAGGGCAGCGGTCTCCACCATCGCCTTTTCCTCCTCGGAGCCTCCGGGCCCAGCCCGGGTCGGACCTCCTCCACCCAGAGCCGCCGGAGCCTGCCGAGGTCCTCGTCCTCTCGGGCCGGACGAAACGGGGGATTGGGAAAGGGTGGGGCACGAAATCTGCTGCATGCAGCTGGTTTCGGCCCCACCGAGGGGCCCATTCCTCGATACGTAGCCGCCTCCGGCGCCGGGGAATTCAGCTACGTGAGCTGACTCTCAAACCCCCCCTTTGCTATCACCGCCTTTCGCCCGGCCCGATCCTCGGGCACCTCCCGCGCGGCCTGCTGCCGCGCGGTGCTGGCCTCAACTGGGTCGGGCAGGTCCTCCTACAGGCGGAGGTTGGACGAAAGCTGAAAAAGAGCCAGCACAAGAAAGCAATCATGATCAAGACATAATCGAACATGCGCAACGAATGATCAAACATAGTCGAGAATCGTCCCCGGGCTATTTTTGACCATTTGACCAGTCTTGAACCCAGACATTCGACGTCCTCATTTTTACAGGACGGCGTCCCTGGAAGTCCCGACACCCTTTCCCAGGGACCGCTTCTTCGTCCCGAGCCGTTTTTCGACGCACCCGAGGCCCGGCGAGGGCTCCTCGAGGCCGAAAATCGCCCAAATCCTCCCGCCCTGACTTTTTTTTTCGACGCGATCATGTCTGGGCCTTGACTATTTTTGAGCCGTCCCCCTGTGGAGGGGCGTGCCCGGCTTGGTGCTGGCCAGCGGCGGGCGGGGGGCGCCTGCGCCGTCGCCCGCGCGGCCGGGGAGGCGGCAGGCTGCGGCCGCGGCGGCTCCGCGGCTGGCTTGGCCCCCTGGTGCGAGCAAGGGATCGACTACAGAATCGACGTGCCCCAAAGGCAACGTCCCGTCGAATCTGCAGTGGAGGCCAGTCCACCAGAGACCTTCCACAAGAAACCCGGCCCTGAGACCCCAGCAGGAGGTCCCCTGATTTTTGGCGCGGGAGCGTCGCGCTCTCCATCGCAGAAACATCGCAGCCCAAGACACCCAGGGCACCCTGGAGGCAAGCAGGGTGTTTCTTGGCATGGGTCCCCACTGTAGGGGATCGACTGCAGAATCGACGTGCCCCAAAAGCAATGTCCAGTCGGATCTACGCAACATTATACGTGTTTGTCTACTGCCTATATTCTGCGTAGATCCGTAGATCTACTGACTATTCTACGTGTCTGTCTGGAGGGTTCGAGGAGAGGATGAATTCCGGCTGCACCAATTCTGTGATCGATCCCTTACTCGACCTGTAGTAGGGAGGAACGCCAAGCGGCATGAACAAAAACTTTCGAGAGAGCGACACTCAACAGAAAGCCGCTCAGCAACCGCCGGGGGGGGGGGGTCTCAAAAGGGGGGGGAACCCCCTCCCGGGTGGGGACCCGCCAGAGCACTGAAGGGGGGGAGGGGGACAGGGGGAGCCCCCACGCCCCCCCCCCCCCGGCACTCGAGACTCTCTCTCGCTCCCGCGCCCTGGAGGAGGGGAAGCCCCCCCCCCCCCCCGCACACCCGGCACTCGAGGCTGCCTCTCGCTCCCGCGCCGTGGAGGAAAGGACCCCCCCGGCACTCGAGACTCTCTCTTTCCCCCGCGCTCTGGAGAGGACCCCCCCCTCTCCCCCCTGCACTCGAGGCTCTCTCTCGCTCCCGCGCCCTGAAGAGGAGACCCCCCCTACCCGGCACACGAGCCTCTCTCTTCCCCCCGCGCTCTGGAGAAGAGGGTCCCCCACCTCTCCAGCACTCGAGGCTCTCTCTCTCGCTCCCGCGCCCTGAGGGGGGGGACCCCCCCCCCGTCCCGGCATTTGAGGCTCTCTCTCCCTCCCGCGCCCTGGAACGGACGATGGACGACGCGCGACCGACGACCGACGACGACCCAGAATCAGAGATAACGATACCACGACCCAGGGGCTGAGAAAACAAGGAAACGAAGCAGGGTCCGAGAAAACGAGACCACGGCCCATGGGCCGAGAAAACGAGACCACGACCCAGGGGCCAACAAAAACGAACCATGGTCAGAGAAAACACGATAACGACGCAGGGGCCGAGAAAACGCGAAAACGAACCAGGGTCCGATAAAACGAGACCACGACCCAGGAGCCGACAAAACGAGACAACGAGAACACAAACCAGTGCCCGAGAAAACGAAACCACGACCCAGGGCCCGAGAAAACGAGACAACGAGAAAACGAACCAGGGCCCGAGAAAGCGAAACCACAACCCAAGGGCCAAGAAAACGAGAAAAACGAGAAAACGATCCAGGGCCAGAGAAAACGAAACAAAATTCCAGAAGCCAAGAGAACGAGAAAAGGAGACAATGAAACAGGGTCCGAGAAAACACGATAACGACCCAGGGGCCGAGAACACGAGAAAACGATAAAACAAGCCAAGGTCCGAGCAAACGAGACCACGACCCAGGCCGAGAAAACGTGAATATCGGTCCTAGACGAAACCACGACCCAGGGGCCGAGAAAACAAGAAAGCGAGAAAAGTAACCAGAGTCCGAGAAAACTGGACACGACCCAGGCGCCGAGAAAACAAGAAACGAGAACACGAACCAGGGCCAGAGAAAACGAGACCACGAGCCAGGGGCAGAGAAAACCAGAAAACAAGAAAACAAACCATGGCCCGAGAAAACCAAACCACGACCCAGGGGCAGAGAAAACGAGAAAACGAACCAGGGCCCGAGAAAACGAGACCACGACCCAGGGGCAGAGAAAACCAGAAAACAAGAAAACAAACCATGGCCCGAGAAAACCAAACCACGACCCATGAGCAGAGAAAACGAGAAAACGAACCAAGGCCCGAGAAAACGAGACCACGACCCAGGAGCCGAGAAAACAAGAAAACGAAATAATGAAACGGGGTCCGAGAGAAACCGATACCACGACCAAGGGGCAGAGAGAATGCGAAAACGATAAAACAAACCAGGGTCAGAGAAAACTGGACCACGACCCAGGGGCCGAGAAAACAAGAGAACGAGAGAACAAACCATGGTCAGAGAAAACAAGACCACAACCCAGGGGACGAGAAAACAAGAAAACAAGACAACGAATCAGAGTCAAATAATACGAGACCGCGACCCAGGGGCCGAGAAAACGAGAAAACAAGACAACGAACCAAAGACCGAGAAAATGAGAAAACGAACCGGGGGCCCGAGAAACCGAGACCACGACCCAGGGGCCGAGACAACGAGATAACGAACCGGGGGCCCGAGAAAACAAGACCACGACTCAGGGGTCGAGGAAACGAGAAAACGAGAAAACAAACCAGGGTCAACAAAAAACAAAACCACAATCCAGGGTCCGAGAAAACGGGACCACGATCCAGGGGCCGAGGAGACAAAAAATTAACCAGGGTCAGCGAAAACGAGACCACGACCCAGGGGCCGAGAACACGAGAAAACGAGAAAACAAACCAAAGTCCGAGCAAATGAGACCACGACCCAAGGGCACAGAAAACGCGAAAACGAACCAGGGTCAGAGAGAACACGACCACGACCCAGGGGCCGAGAAGATGAGAAAATGATGAGGAAGAGTCCGACGCGGAGGAAGGGAACGCCCCCCTGACGGCCCCCCTTCCCTGTCGTTTGCCGAAGGGGAGGGGGGCCCTTAGCCCCCCCCCCCGCCACTCGTGCGCGAGCGGGGAAGGGGGCTCCCCCCTTCCGACCCCCCCTGGGTTCGCGAGCGGGGGGGGGGCTCCCCCCTTCCGACCCCCCCCTGGGATTTTGTGGGTAGGGTATCGCTCTAACAAACTTTCGGAGCTCCGTGCGGATTCTGTGGATCGGCGCTGGATCCCCCTCCCTGGCGCGCCTCCAGCGCGCCAGGGGGCTGCGCCGGAGGCACCGCCGGGGAGGCCCGGCGCAGCTCCTCGAGTCAGGTCGGGCACGTCCTCCTACAGGCGGACTCTGGAAGACAAACGAAACACACCCCAAACAAGAAGCAACAACCCTCAGGAAAAAAAACACGGCACGCATCGCCGCCAGGCTCCTCTCTCTTGACGCTAGCTCTGAGCACCCCTCCCGGCCTCCCTGAGACATCCGCGCGGGGCTCCGAAAGCCGAGGCTTTTACGCATCATGCTTCCCCCGGGTCGGGCGAAAGGGGGGGATAGCAAAGGGGGGTTTGAGAATCAGCTCACGTAGCTGATTTTCCCGGCGCCTCCCGGCGCCCATGTATCGAGGAATGGGCCCCTCGGTGGGGCCGAAACCAGCTGCATGCAGCAAATTTCGTAACCCCCCCTTTCCCACCCCCCCCTTTCGTCCGTCCCGATTCCCCCCTCCGACCTTCCCCTCCCTGGCCCGCTGGCCCACGGCCACGTCCACCGCCAGGCCGCCCCCGCGCCGCCGGCAGCGCGCCGCGCCCCGGGCGCGCAGCCTCGCCGCGGGCGGCGCCGCGAGCCCCGCCGCGGCGCCGAGCGCCGTGGCGCCGAGCGCCGCGGCGTGCCGCCGCGGCCCGCCCGCCGAGCCGCCCGGGGCGCTGCCGAGCGGCGCCGCGGCGGGCCCCGCGCCGGCGAGGGGCCGCGGAGGGCGCGGCCCCCCGCCGCGGGGGGCGGAGAGGGCAGGGGCGCACGCGGCCATGCCGGCGCCGCCGGGCGCTCGGGCGCGGGCGGCGCGCTCGCGCCCCCTGGCTCGGGCCGCGGGCCCTGGCTGCGTGCGAGGCGGAGGGGAGGGGCGGAGGGCAGGTGTGCGGCGGGCGTGCGCGTGTGCGTGCACACGTACACGTGTGTGCGCACCTGCCGAGGTCATCGCGCGCGTGGCGCACGCCGACGTATATGCCTGCTTCGGAGCGTCGCGCGTGGCGTGGTGGAGGCGACGGCTGGCTTGGGTGTGTGCGTGCATGTATATGTGTATGTTCCCTGGGTGCCTCCCGGAACTCTTCAGCTGGCCCCCCCCCCTGACTGGGCATAGAAGAACCCCCTATAACCCGATGGGAGGCGACATAGTTTGCTGGGAGGGCCAGGAACATCAGGGGATAGGGGGCTCTCTTCTGCAGATGAACCGGACCAAACCGCCCAACCGGACCAAACCGCCCAGATACTTGTTGGCCCTCCTGCGAAAAAGGGAACCTTAGTGAGGCCACGTCTTCGTCGCATCATCAGGGTTAGGGGTGACTTCCCAGAGATCCGACGTCGTGTTTTTTTCAATGCGGGGTCCCCGGAAGTCTCGACCCATTCCACAGGAGCGGTTTTTCATCCTGAGTCGTCTATTGACGGTCCCGGGGCCGGGCGAGGGCCCCCGGAGGCCAAAAACTGCGAAAAACCTCCGTCTTGATTTCTTTCACTGCGTTGGATCTCTGAGTTTGTCCTCGATGACCCCCTGCCCCTCTGCCTGCCGCCTGGCCTCGCGCGCAGGCAGCGCGCCGCGGCCCTCCGCGCGCCCCGGCCGCGGTGGCGCGGCGGCGAGGCGCTGCCCCGTCGGAGAGAGACGACGGGGAGGAGCGGGAGGCTCGTCGGGGGCTCTGATGGGCGTGCTTTCCACAACCACCACCACAAGTTGGAGGGAGGTGCGTCCTCCTCCTCCTCCTCCTCCTCCTACTCCACCTCCGCAGGCGCACGCGCACGCACACGCGCACGCGCACGCGCACGCGCACGCGCACGCGCACACGCGCACGCGCACCCGCGCACGCGCACACGCACGCGCACGCACGCGCACGCACGCGCACGCACGCGCACGCACGTGCACGCACGCGCACGCACGGGCACGCATGCGCACGCACGCGCACGCACACACCCGCACGCACCCGCACCCGCACGCACCCGCACGCACCCGCACCCGCACGCACCCGCACGCACCCGCACGCACCCGCACGCACCCGCACGCACCCGCACGCACGCGCACGCACGCGCACGCACGCGCACGCACGCGCACGCACGCGCACGCACGCGCACGCACGCGCACGCACGCGCACGCACGCGCACACACCCGCACGCACCCGCACGCACCCGCACGCACCCGCACGCACCCGCACGCACCCGCACGCACCCGCACGCACCCGCACGCACCCGCACGCACCCGCACGCACCCGCACGCACCCGCACGCACCCGCACGCACCCGCACGCACCCGCACGCACCCGCACGCTCCCGCACGCACCCGCACGCACCCGCACGCACCCGCACGCACCCGCACGCACCCGCACGCACCCGCACGCACCCGCACGCACCCGCACGCACCCGCACCCGCACGCACCCGCACCCACACGCACCCACACGCACCCACACGCACCCACACGCACCCACACGCACACCCACGCACACACACGCACACACACGCACACACACGCACACACACGCACACACACAGCACACAGCACACAGCACACAGCACACAGCACACAGCGACAGACAGACAAACAGACAGACAGACAGACAGACAGACAGACAGACAGACAGACAGACAGACAGACAGACACACACACACACACACACACACACACACACACACACACACACGCGAGTCCTGCTTTCTCTGTGATGGCCCAGTGTGGCTGTCGTGCCGACGCGCCCTGCTGGACGCATGGCTTGAGCGAGTGAGAGGGGCAAGGGACCCGCTGCTCCTGGCCCAGGACGGGGCCGGCTTCTCCTGCCTGGGCCGATGGGGCGCAGCGTGGTGCTGCCAGTGCTCGGGTGCCGCCACGCGCTGCTGGTCCACGAGTCCTCGTGCCTGCCTGACGGGGCTGAACCTAAACGGTGTTTTTCGTTTTCGTTTTGCTGTCGTTTTCCCTCGTTTTGTCTTCAATCCGCCTTTCGACGCAAAACGACATCGAAGCGAAAACGGCTTACGATATCGCCAAAACACAGTTTAGGTCCACCCCTGTGCCTGGACGCTGGAGCAGATTGTTGTGCAGGGCATGGAGCAAGGTCTCGGGCAAGAGCCCCTACGGCCATCGTGCAGACACGGGGAACGCTGAAAAAGGACCGAAGGCCACCGCGAGCCTCAGCCATGAATCGATTCCCCGACCTGGATTTAAGGAGCGGCCTGAAAACCAGAGCCCCTCCTGAGCCGAAAACCGTTCTTATGTCAGCGTCTTGAATGTATCAGCTGCAGCCCCTGTTGGAGGGTTTTTCCTAACCATTCCTATAGTTGGGTCTTTGTTTTGAACGAAGCACTGCTTGCGCGACCTCCTCCTCTCGCCTCCCCCTCCTCTTCTCCTGCATCCTTCCACCTGCCTGCATTCGCGCTCCCGTGGGTCTGCCAAACGACACATGTTGCCCCCTGGAGGACTGCCAACTAACTGTCGCCACTTTCGCGGGCTCCTGGGAGGTCCAGCGGAACGCTGTCCTACGCGCACCCACACGAGACCTGGCTTCTCGACTCGGGACGTTCTGCTCGTGTGACCTGGCGTGCAGCAGTGCGCTCAGGCCTTCTTAGAAGGCGTCACATATGCAATAATGAGCGTCGACGTGGGAGGCGAATGGTCCCCGTGAACTTGGGGCTCGACGATGCGATACTCTCCGCTCGTTAAACCTAGAATCGGTGAAACTAGGTCTCGGCTAAACTGGATCGGGAATTTAAGTCCCCGACTTCCGCAATTCCGAAAACTAGATCGGCCCGCTTACACTCTCATTTCCTATAGCAGACCTCAATCTGCGACTGCCATCCTTCCCCCTTGGGCGCGCCCCCCAAATACGCGTGTACTCGTAGTGTGGCGATCGACTTGGCTGCGCCGACTTTGATCCGACTGGGGTCCACATGTATACATATGTATGTATGTATGTATGTATGTATGTATGTATGTATGTATGTATGTATGTATGTATGTATGTATGTATGTATGTATGTATGTATATATGTATGTATGTATGTATGTATGTATATCTGTATGTATGTTTGTTTGTTTGTTTGTTTGTATGTATGTATGTATGTATGTATGTATGTATGTATGTATGTATTGATATCTATATTTGTATATATATATATATATATATATGTATATATATATATATATATATATATGGATGGGGTCGTTCAAAAGTCGGTCTGCACGGTCAATCCAAGTCGCTCCGGGCTCCAGAGCTATCCAGGGTCAGTCCGGATTGACCCTGGACTGACCCAAGTCCGACCACGGACCCCGACTGACACCGGACGGGCCCCAGACGGACCCCAGACGGACCCCGGACGGACCCCGGACGGACCCCAGACGGACCCCAGACTGGGGTCAACAAGGGTTAGTCCGGGGCCAATCTGGGATCAGTCCGGGCTCAGTCCGGGGTCAGTCCGGGGTCAATCCGGGATCAGTTTGGGCTCAGTCTGGGGTCAATCCGGGGTCATTCCTGGGTCAATGTGGGATCAGACCAGGGTCAATCTGGGGTCAGTCGGGGGATGGCTCCAAAAGGCGACCCAGGACCGGCTCATCCATGCAGATCCATCTGAGGTGCGCCCAGATAGGGAAATTCACCCCTCCTCCTCCTCCTCCTTCTCCTCCTCCTCCTCCTCCTCCTCTTCCTCCTCCCCTTCCCCCTCGCGATGACGATGCCGACGATCAGCGAACAATGCCCCCGAGGTCCACGAAGACTCCCCCAGGTGCCGCAAGGAACGAGGGCGGACAAATATAAGCACAAACTCGTGCACGCCGACGACGGCAGAGGCGGGGTGGGGCCAGGGACCCACGTCCACAGAAATGCAGCCGCGGGACTCTGGCAGCGGCAAATGGCAGAACCAGCAGCAAGGGCAGCAGCAACATCATCACAGCAGCGCTCTGGGGACATCTACTTCATATTCGGGCCTCGGCTCGCAACCACTAGACTCGGTAGAAATAGATCTCGGCTAAACTAGGTCGGTACGGTAGAGGGAAGCAATTAGTGAACACCCCCCCTGCGCCCCAAACTCAAAGTTGGCACGCGGGGGGGAGACTGCGGTCGAGGTGCAACTCATCCGACCCACCGCCAACTTTGAACATTGGGGGGAGGGGGAGGCGTTCACAGATGAATGTGGCATGAGTGCTCGCTGTTTTTTCCGAGGTCGGTATCCGATATCTACTTGAAGCGAGCGGAGTGTCATTGAGCGTTTCGTTTGATACGTCGTTTGGGGATATGGCGCGGATGTCTGTGGGTCTAGCTGACGCTTCACGGATGGGCGATGGGAAGGAGGGGTAGCGGAGGAATAATGACACAATGATAGGGGAGGTTTCGTGTTCAGAAATTTGGAAGAAAGGAGGACGCGAAAAGGGGAACTGAACAAGCGAACGGAAGACATGAAGTACACCACATTTTCAACGAAACTCGTTGGAGGAGGAGACAAACGACTGTCGATGAAGAGGGATCGCCTCGTGTGCTCTTGCCAAGAGGCGCCCTCTCAAACAAGTAAAGCAACTGTGTCTCGCTCGCGTTGGAAAATGCTCCTGGCCCGTGCCAGAGAAACTGGATGCCGCAGTGAAGCGCGAGCCACCAGTCTTCTCATGATGAGCTCGACGTCCACGGCAATATAGTCGGCCACGGCGGACGGGCTGCGCCTCAGGACCGGGAGCTTGCCGTCTCCC